ACTCTCACTACCAATGCTTGAATGACAAAGCTTCTCTGTATCTGACAGAATATCTTTGCTGATATTTTGTTATTGTCACTATTCTTAATTTAGTGGTTCTATAAGTGTGTAATGATATCTCATTGTGATTTCAACAAACATATCCCTAGTAGAGAATACTATTTTGTAGTGTGTGTGTGTGTGTGTGTGTGTGTGTGTGTGTGTGTTTGACATCTGTATATTTTTACAGTGAAATGTTTCTTTAGGTCTTTAAACTTTTCCTAGGTGGATAATTTGCTTTGCTTCATTTTCATAAAATTATTCAACACGAGATGTTATCTTGGTAAATGTTTAAATATCCAACACTTTATTGCTGGCTATGGATACATAACTAGAAAAGCAGAACTCCAGACCTAGTTCTTATCTGGCTGAAATTTATGCCTGATAATCAGTATTATTCCATTTTCCCCGCTGCTTAGCCTCTTTTAACTTCAATTTCCATCTTCCATGACTTTACCTATAAGTAAAATTATGTGGCATTTCTCTATATAGACCTGATTTATCCTACTGTATAATGCCTGTGGGATCTACCTACGTGGACACATATTGCTAACTTTCTTCTACAAGCATGGACTATATTTCAGTATATGTATAGACCATGTGTCTTTTATCTATCCATCTGTCAGTAGACAATGGACATGTTGGCTGCTTCCATGTTTTGACTATTGTTACTAGTGCTGCACTGGACATATGAGTGCTATATTAATCAGCTCTCCCATGGCCAAGACACAAAATCCAACACCCACAAAGAATATCATGTTCACAGGAGATTCTGTATATCTCCAAGGCAGGAACCTCCCAGTGGAAAGACCTGGTAGAACAAAGTAAAGCTTAAATTTTTGGCAGCTGGGAAACAAAACAAGAGCATTAAGCCTGTGAAGGAGTGAGGGACTACATAGTCCCCAAGTCCATGGCCCAGCTAGACACACCCAGAAGTGTGCTCTACCATTCCTGGATATGGATCCAACTACTGCTAATATCCTGTAAATACTTCAATATTTTTATGTAAATGTCAGAATTAATTTTCCAGATCTCATTTTAGTTCTACTTGCAATTTTTAAAGAAACATAAAAAGTTTTTCAAAGCAGCGGCATCATTTTACATTTTCACCAGCAGTGTATCGGAGTGATAATTCCTCCACATTCTCATTAACACTTGTCATCCTTTTTAACTGCTAATAACCACCCTGGGAGACATGAAATAATACCTCATTGTGATTTAATTTTTATTTACTTCTTTAGTAATTAATGAGAGTATTTTCCCATAACTATGTGACATTTCTTTTTTATTTTTTAACATATGTATTTGGTATAGGGTCTCACTATGCATCTCAGACTTGTAGTGATCTTCCTGTTTTCAGCCTCCCCAGCGTTGGGCTTACGGGTGTGTGTCACCACACCCAGACTCAGTCACCAGCTCAGCATGCTCAATGGCAGGACTATGTACCATGACTATGTGATATTTCTATGTCTTCTCTGAAAGCTTTTTACTCCAGCTTTTAGACAACTTTATATAAGTTGATTGATTGGTATTAATGAGTATAAAATTCTTATACATATTTGGAGGTAAATCCCTTACCAGATAAGTGGTTTGGATTCTGTAGCTTGACTTTTTACTCTGTTGTTTCCTCTGCAGTGCTGAACTAGTCAATTTTGTGTAGTCTTTTTGTTGCTTGTGCTTTTGGTATCATATTCATGCAAGTATAGCCCAAACCAGTTAAAAAGCTTTCCTGTGTTTCCTTTCAGGAATTTTGTATGTTAAGGTCTTTTAAGTCTTTAATTATTTGGTGTTGAGTTGGGGGTATAATATATGAGAAAAGTCCAACCCTTCTGAAGTAAAAATTTCCCAGAATAAGTTGTTAGAGAGATTGTACTTCTTCCATTGTGCATTTTTGCCACTTGAAAAGATCAGTTGAAAATATATGTTTGGTTTCATGTATAGGATATTCCTTTGATATATTGTTTTTATTACTAGAGCTTTGCAATATACTTTGTGTTCATCGAGTATAATCCCTCCTTTTTTGTTTAGTATTATTAGGGTCAATTGGATATTCAATTTTTTTTGGTTCCCTATAGATTTCAAAAATGATTTTTCTATATCTTTTAAAATTTCAGTAGAACTTTTTATAAGAAATGCATTGAATCTATAGATCATTTTTCATATGAGCATTTTGATAATACAATACATTTTTCATTGTTTCTATCTTTTTTTTTTCATCAATGCTATATGGTAATCAGTGTACAAGTTATAACCTCAGTTGTAAAATCCAGTTTCAGGGCTGGCCAGATAACTGAGAAGATTAAAGTGCCTGCATGGGCAGATGCAGAAACAGTGGTTCAATCTCCAATGTACTGTGCTGGCTCTGCCCCTGGGACGGGCTGAGAGGTGGACTGAGACTGGGCGGGTGGTGTGCGCCTGTAATCCTAGTGCTTGGGAGGCTGAAAAGAGGAGGATCACTACAAACTCAATTGTAGTGTAATGAAACCCTGTAGGCCTTGTACTAAATTTTAAAAATCCAGTTTCAAGTATTATAAAATCAAGTATAAAAGGAACTATTTTCTTAATTTCTTCTTCAAATATTCAAATAATATGGAAGTACAACAGACTTTTATGAGTTTATTTTATCTTGTAACTTTCTTGATTGGTTACTACTTATGTTTTTCATAGGAAAATATCATATCATTTGCAAATAGAAAAAATTTTATATCCTCCTTTATGACTTATATTCTTTATTACTCTAGGTAAGGTTTCTAGTACAGTGTTGAATAGAAGTAACAAGAATGCACATGTTTACTTTGTTTTGAACCCTAAAGGAAAATCTTTCAATTTTTTGCCATTGAGTGTGAAGTTATTATTATTATTATTTTTAATTTATTTGTGTGTGTGTGTGTGTGTGTGTGTGTGTGTGTGTGTGTGTGTCCAGCTCAGCCCATCGGGGGCGGGCTGGCTGGCATGTGGTGCTGAGGGATTGAACAGTGGTCCCTGTGCTTTGCTAAGCTTGTTCTAAGTAGGTGCTTTAGACCACTGAGCCATCTCCCCAGTCCCGAAGTTATTATTTTTTAATATGCAGTACAATGCATCATTTTGGGGTAATATTCTCTTGCTAATTTTCAAGGAATTTTTGTCAAGAAATGGCAGTAAAGTTAAAACTTTTTCAGTCTGTTAAGTTGATTGTGTAACTTTCTGTCTTTTGTTCTGTTAATGTAGTATGCCATAATTATTGATGTCCATTTGTTGAATTGCCCTTGCATCTCAGGAATATATTGTATTTTATAAGGTTGTACATTTTTTTTAAGATATTGCATAAAATTTGTTAGTACTTTACTGAGGATTTTTGCATATGTGTTCATCCAGATAGAAGAATTTTTACTTTACTGATTGATTGATTGATTATCTTTTTGAGGCAAACTGTTGTTATGCAGTTCAGGCTGGTCTTGACTCAGTTTGTAGTTCATCTTGTCTCGAACCTCCAATGATTCTCCTGCCTCATCCTCACAGTACTAGGGTTACAAACATGCTCCACCATACCCAGCATAATTTTCCTTTCTTTTTTAACATTGCTATCAAAATCTCCCAAATAGAATATGGCAATATTCCTTCTTCAATCTTTTGAAATAGTTTTATAAGATCTAGTATTATTTATTTAAAATCTTGATTGAATTTGTCAGTGAAGCCATCTGGTCCTGAGGTTTTCTTTGTAAAGAGGCTACTGTTTTCTGGTTAAATCTCCATATAACTAATTGCACTATTTGAACTTTTCTTCTTGACTTACTCTTTGTACGTTGCATGTTTGTAGGAATTCATCCATTTCTTCTAGTTTATCTATTCTGTTGACATGTACTTATAACAATACTATTTCTTATTATCTTACTTTTTGCCATCAGCTTTAATGTCTAATACATTATTATATAATATTATATGCAAATGAATATATGATCTATGAATAATATTATAATATTTTCAATAATATGTATTATTTTGAAATAGAAGATGATGGTCTTAAACAGATTTTATTGGATGCAGGATATATGCCCCAAAACATAGTCAATTCTGGTGTTTGTTTTTGTAATGTAGCTTACCTTTTTAATCTCCACTTTATAGTCTTGCAAAAAGATGGAAAGTTAAAAATCATGTAGCTCATCTTGCTTTAGAAGGGATAATTATTTTATTTTAGTGGTCCAAAACATCTTGTATGAGGAATTCTTTTATTTCAAGTGGTGATTTTGAAAATGTGCATTAGTCATATTAATTCTGTTTCTTCCTTTATCCTGGGTTTCTAAGTTATAAGGGATAAATATTTATGAGAAGCCTGTAGGAAAAAAAGAAATGTAAAAGTCAATGGTGACTAATGGGTGGCAGTGAATGCACCCACAGATAGCTCTTATGATCATGCAATGGAAGATGGAGAAACACTGCACTTCATGCTTCATTGTTCTCTTTCTGTTCTTCTAGCTACACAAACCCTGTCTTTCTTGAGCTCTGTCAAAAGCAAAGAAGATTTGGAGTGATATTCAAAAACAGCTCCATGATTTCCTTACCTCTTCCTCCTTCCTACCTCTTCTTCCTTTAATAGCTTAGGATGTTCTTCATATATAATATTTTAATGTATGACATATTTATGCAGAATTACAGAAATATCTATATTAGAAAATGTTTTGATATCAACTAGATCAGCATAATCATTCCAAAATTAAAAAAAACAGCTTGAGGTCACATTAATTTAAATACAGTAACATTTATATTTGTTTATTCTTATTTTATCCAGAAAGATTATTCTCTCTAATAGAGAGAGATTGTTGGGAGATAAATTTAGTAATAAGGTTCCAGAAGAAGTGGGTATTCATGTGATCTGCTGATTTAGATGAACTGACCCTTACGAATAACATCACAATGAGCTTGGGTGGGTAGAGACAGGTCTTGCAGCCTAGGACTTTCTGACTTTTACTGATTCACTTACATAGAACCTACTAAAGAAGCACGAAGCTTTAGCTAGTGACTTTGCTGTTCATGAGGCCCGAGTGCAAAACGTGTGTGGACAAGGAGAAGACATCTTGAATAAGGTGAGCTCCTCCAGGGATTCCAAGTCAACTTCCATTTCAAAAAGTGGTGGCTCAGATATTAAAATTCATGGCTAAAATCATAAATAGTGTTCTGGAGTACTGGTAAAGCTATGTATGGAATTTTAACAATCTCTTCTAAGCTGCCTCTTATTGGTGCCGCTACCAGCAATTAATTATCTACTCAATAGCTGTTTTATGCAAACTATTGTTTGTTAAAGTTCTATATATGTGCCCTTTCAATTTCCTAAAATCTTTGTCAATATCGTTGCTGCCCTATATGGATCTCATCAGTACCTTTGGCAAAGCACAAAAAAAAAGTACATAAATCTAAAGAAATTTCCTTCTAAGTGTTCAACTAATAGGACCATAAAGCAGCCTCATCATGACTTGAAAATCATTGTTTTTGCTCAAATGTTATTCTCACAAAGCCTCATTAATCTGAGTCCTCAGTGGTAGAACATTTGCCTAACAAGATGGAAACCCTTGGTTTGGTCCTCAGTACCAAAAACAAAAAATAAATCACATTAACCTGAGTATTATATAAGGACTCTGAAACAGAATGCACCATACATGTGAGAAACTCACAGCAACTAAGATCACAGTTATGTGCACAAATATGAGGTCCTTTAAATTCTGAAGCAAAAATAACATTTTTGCAGATGAATGGATGATGGAATAATTATGCTAGAGCTAGAAAGAATAGTTACACAGTTGGGATTGAAGAAATGAAAGCTTCATATTGTACTTACAAAATTAAATTTTTCAGCTCTGGAGATGTACTGGTGTACTGACATCTCTTCTTTTCCCCTCAATGTACTGCTGCAGGAGGAAAGTCAGAACAAGGAAATGATTTCTGCTAAGATTGCATCTCTGAATGAAATGACTCCTTCTCTGGACAAGGCACTGGCAGATTGGAAGGTGCAGTTGGAAGATGATCTTGCCTTACAGCAGTTCAACTGGAAGGCTGATGTGGCAGAGTCCTGGATAGGTATGATGTTCAGGGCTAGCATCCAATGAAATTAGGAAATACTAATAAGTTGCATTTGCAAAGTGCTCTCTAAAACTTTTTCTTTTACAATGGAAAATACATTTTCTTTTTACTAACTACTCTTCTTGTCCTTATTCTTTCTGCACCCAGTTGCACTGAGGCATGCACACACACTTATACACAAACAAGTAAATATCTGACAGAGGAAATAAACATCCTACTTCCACAGAACACATTTGGGGAAGAGAGAAGTTGGTGATTTGACATACAATATTTGAGAGTTAAAGCTATCACAAAACATTCTAGCTACAGTGTGTGATTTACTTACCATTTATGTCTGATCTGCAATTTTCCTTTTTATTTTAATGTTACACAAACTTTCTCCTAATTCTGTTCTAGCCAGTTCTACCCTACATAAGAGTAAAAACCAATATATTATTTCTCCATGCTCCCACATTCCAATGAGTTGCCTAGAATACATACTTTGCAATCTAAGAGAATCAGGAAGACTTCTTTGATGACTATTGGAAATAATCATTTACCATGACTCAAAAGACCCACTATCTTTATCTTTCCATTAATCTTTGTATTTTAGGTGAGAAAGAAGCAAGCTTAAAGACAAAGGGCAATGGCGCAGACCTCACTGCCTTTCTCACGCCACTGGCAAAACAGGTGAGAGGAGACTGCCATGGGCTCAGGTGCCAGGAAGTCCCAGGATCACATTACAGGGATGTTCAGCCTTCTAGAATTGTTTCATTGTGAATTTATCAAAATTTAACTGTTTATATATAT